AGGGCACTGCTCCCTGAAGGGACTTATGGCAGAAATTCGAACTGGTATAAAATATGGGAAGGGACATGAACTGGTCAGTCCAGATGTTCCAACCATGTAGGCAGATATAGTCAATAGGCAGATGTGCTCAGTATGACAGCAACAACGAAATCAGAACAGAACCCTCTCCTAGCATTGCGTTTTCCAGCAAGGGCATCCTCTTTGTGGGCCTGCCCTGTCTGAGCACTTTCCATGCCTTGTTCACGTCAGTGGACTGTTCCTGGTGTGCCAGACACCCACCTCACCCTTTCCATCTACAGGTCTCTCTCCTTACTCTGTACTGCTAACCTCTGTCTCTTTCCTGCCTCCTGACAAGAGTTCATCTCCAGCTTCTCCTGCTTGGAGTTGTCAGGGAAGGATAAGTTTCAAACCTTATTCACTCCTAGTTAATCATATCTTTAATGTGTCCCCAAGGACAGTGAAACTTCATGGTGTGCTTTAGAAATAATTACGTAAAACTCTTTGGAGCTATGTCTGTGAAGAGGGGACTGTTGGTCAAACTTTCCCCCTAAATGTCTGCCTCTGCCCACCAACGAAGCGCTTACTCTGGCTGAAGAGCAATTATCTATTTCATCTTTTTTTTTTTCTTTTTTTTTAGCCTGGCAGAAATGTCTCCTCTGCATTGTTATGGAGACTGGATAAATGAGACAGATAGATGGGGGCAGGTATGAGCAGGTGACAGGAGTTGGCTGCCGAGCTACCTTTGTGATCCATCTCTGCAGACGCCCGTGTTAATTCCATGGAGACTCAGCAAGACTGATACACAGCGGTGACAGTTTGGACATCTCAACATGACCTTGGATGTGCCCAAAACCGCAGCTGAAACTATGCCAACTTTTCAGTGTAGTATATCACAGGGGCTACATAAGTGTGCTAGAAATTGGCTGCATTTAGAGTGTTAGCTTGTTTGCTGAGGAAACTTGCTGGCCCTGTAAAGGATTGTGTTGTGATGAGAAGGCTTCTCATTCAGTCCATTTTCAGTAATTAGACCCCCACATGGCAGCCCAGGAAGTCCCACTGCTATTCCTCTTAAGGCTGTGAGAAGCCTGAATTCACAACTCTGACTTCAACAACTGTGCCCATGGCTCAAGATCTGCTGGTCAACATTTCCTACCCCATGGACATTTAACTGGTATCTGGTTTAATTTCAGCTACTGGGAGGAAATGTCATTAAGAACCTACTTCTGCCTTCCCAGAAAGTTTTCTGCAAAGTAATGGAGATAAGAGTCTTTCCCTAACACCCATACACTCTGTTGTTTTCATTTTACCAGAAACCACATCTCTGCATTGGTGATTCTTTTTTTTTTCTTTAGCTTTTATTAATTACACTTTATTCATTTTATATCCCCCCATAAGCCCCTCCCTCCTCCCTTCCTAGTCCTACCCTCTCCCCTCCTTTCTGCATGCATGCCCCTCCCCATGTCCCCTGATTGGGAGAGGTCCTCCTCTCCTTCTTGATTCTTACCATGTGGTCTCCAAGCCATAACCCTCCATGGTTGGCACCCCTTGAGTTTACAGCAAATTGTAGTATCTCCTTCCCCAGCCCAGAACCACTGAGCTATCTCTGTTGTATGTCAACAGCCAGATTATTCAGGTGCTAACTAAATCTGAAAGCCGGTGACTTCTGTGTGTGTGTCTGAGGTCTTATATGGACATCAAAGAACATCAAAAGTGAAAAAAAATGGTAATATCACTGTGATTTTCTTGGATAGATGTTTTGTAGGCTCAGCTAAATTGATCTGTCAGTTAGCAACAACACATGAAGGAGGCCAAGTTTTTGAGATGCTAATAGATCATGGAATGGACTAGAACAATACTTAGCAAGTAACAATATATGTTCCAAAAGCATTCGCTATGGGTGTGACTTTCCTGTAACCTGCATGAATCCAAGAAAAGTTTAGAACAGTGTCTAAAGTTATCACTATAAAAGTTGTTTCTAGTAAAGGGAGTTGTGGAGTGAGTAGGGTGTCCTTCAGAGGTTTCAAATAAGTATGGTTTCAGAGGAAGCTTTTAGCCTGCACTGCCCAAGATGAAGAACACTGTTCTGTAAGATTTGCAAAAAAGGGAACTCTGTCAGGTGTTTCTTTTGTTAAGGATCTCTCACTTTGTCTTGGACACTCTCCGTGTGTTCTGGATTTTATTCTTAACACCGAAAAGGAGGCTTGGAATACAGTCTAGCCCAAGTCAGGCATCATGTGCAGTCAACTTACTTGGAGATCTTGTTAAAATGTAATTTCTGATTCACTGCCTCTGATGTTGGGCTTTGGACTTTGCACTTCTAACAAGCTCCCGGGTGACAATGATGCTGTTTGTGAGATAGAAGCTGCTTGCTTGCTGGTCACATGTTAGCAGTGAGTTATCACTGTTTCCCACATGCCAGTGTATACACAATTCACCTCCAGATAAATACTCCTTAAGGAATAGCCCAGGGGGTTAGTCGAACACCTTTCATATAGGAGCCCAGCCAGAAACCAGAACCTCAAATCAGGCATGGTGACACAAACCCTGTAATCCTAGCACTCTGGAGGCTGAGGCAGAATGACAAAGAGTTTGAGATTAGTAGCCTAGGTTACATAGAGAGATGAGAAAGAGAGAGACAAACAGAGAGAGGCAGTCACAAACACACAGACACACCCACACACCCACACACACTCAGAGAGAGATAGAGAGTCTTCAGCCCTGACTCAGCTGTACCAGATCACAACCTTTTTTTTTTTTTGGCAACTTCCCCTCACAGTTTACAAGTGAAGTTTGGGGAGCAGTAGAGCTGGCTTCATGACTATTGAATTGCAAGCCTACATTTGGTTTGCTGTTCCACTCTCTCCATCTGGGACTTTTCATGGACAGAAGTCTCTGTCTTTTTATTTGGCCTCTGGCTCCATAAATTAGATAGGTTGTCCTGGCTTCACTGTTCTGTGTCAGCAACTTCCAAACTCTAGTCTGTATTTGTTTCAACTGAGCTCTTTTTGTAACTTGGTATTTCTGGGTTCTTAAAGGTTGAGTTAGTAGCATAAGGAATGGTGGAGCTTACAGACCTTACTTGTTATGCTGATATAAGTAGCACATGCCCACTTTTGAACTAGTACCCTAGCATCTCCATACTTGTGTTTTCCATTGTTTGCATGTCAGCATCATACTCTTCATTTCTGCAGCATTTCCAGAAAATCCCCTAAGCACTACAAACCTGCTGGACCCTGAAGCAGGTTTCTGGTTGGACAGATAGTTCAGCAAGATTTCCACCTGTGCCTGAGTGGCCTCTTGTGGTGGTGTAACATTTACACAAGTAAAATAAGGAGAGTGTCCAATGAAAAGCAGAAAGTGTAATGGGCTCAGGGCTCGCTAGTAGTTCCTGTGTTTTGTTTTGTTGTTGTTTTATGGTAACAGACAATTTTAAGACTTCAACAGAAGCAAAAACACTTTGGGTTGGTTTCTGTCACTGTGACAAAATACTTGATTGAAACAACTTATAGAAGGGAGGGTTTATTTCGACTGGTGGTATCACAGGAGTGAGTCCATCATATTTGGTGAAATGGGAGCCTGGAGCAGAGCAGTTCACATAATGGCAGCAAGAATCAGAAGAAAGAGGACATCTGTGGCACCCTATGTAGTGGTGAACCCCAAATTCCTTGAGAATTATTCTCTCTTTCCCTAATCCTCACAATGATAAACCCACATATATTCTTTACTAGTCTCCAAGAATTTCTGAAGCTAATGAAGTTGGCAATCAAAGTAAACCATAATAGTATCCCATTGAAAAGTTCACCCTTGCACATTCTGTACTTAGGAATGAGACCTTAATGGGGAGTCTGCATCTCACACTTTCTCTTTCCTTGCTTAAAACCCAGGCAAGTTGGAACTCTGAGGTTTGGGTCTTTGAAACAAAAAACAGACATGAGTATCTTTCTCAAAGTTTTGTTGCGTAAACCAAATGAAACGGTGTGAATGTGAAAGTGCCTTATACACTGTGAAAGAGTGCAGAAGTTTGAGACATCATTAAATAGACCATGTAATACAGCCCTTCTCAGCATTACAGTGAGGAGCAGGACACTGTGTTTGTGAATTTAGCCCTAGGCCATAGGACATACTTGGTGTAACAAGAAAGGGAAATGAATACAGACAGAAAGATATGATGAAGGCTTGGCAAGAGGATTCAAAGTACAGAAAAGAAAAGGAAGCTTCCACAATTTGAGGACTCCAGATGCAAAAAATAAAAAGAAAGAGACTATTTTTATATGTGCAAACAATTTTGAGATTTTAGAAAATGTCTTTAGTCTAGCAATAATTGAACATTTCTGCCCTGGGTATAATGAAGATAAGTAGCAATAGTGGTGGTCCATATTTAGATTTGACTTCAGAAGCCTTCTGTTGGAATTTGCTGAACTGATATGAGTGGAAGGATGGTTTGTAGTTAAAGCCCAGTTTCTGAGCCAGCACATATTAACTGTGAATTGGAAAAGCATTTAGCATCCTTGTGCCTGAATTCTTTTTCCAATAAAATACACCCCACAGGGCTGTTGCAAGTATTGAACAGCTTAGCACACCCCAAATATCCAGACAGTGATGATGGAGATTTTCATTGTTCACATCATGGGGATCCTAGAGCCTAGCTAGGATATAAGGGTCCTAGCTCTTCTGAGGATGCAAGATGCCTTGGGTTTGCTCTTAGAGGTTATTTGAAACGAGCATTTCTTCCTGTGGTTTTAAAGGCACTAAACTTCCCAGGATCTAGAAAGCTCAGACAGAGAATGTTCTAAAGCCATAATCCTACAAATTTCCTACTGAGGTATTCTGGACCACTCTGCTCATGGCCAAGCAACCACAGGAAAGGCATGTGTGTCCACTTGGAGTGAGGGGGAATAAGGCACAATGAGGCACGGTAGCCTGGCTCTAACAGCTTCTGCTTTTTTTTTTTCTTTTTTTTTCTTTGTCCTTTCCCTTATCTGTCTGGTTTTATCTTACAGGTGCACAATTGACAACCGAGTCACCAGGGTGGCCTGGCTAAACCGCAGTACCATCCTTTATGCTGGAAATGACAAGTGGTGCCTAGATCCACGAGTGGTCCTCCTGAGCAACACCCAGACCCAGTACAGCATTGAGATCCAGAATGTGGATGTGTATGACGAGGGTCCTTATACCTGCTCGGTGCAGACAGACAACCACCCTAAGACCTCCAGAGTCCACCTCATTGTACAAGGTGGGTGGGGCTTGGCTGGGAGGCCTGAGTGGGTGGCTGAGAATGACAATGTTCACTGATTTTTTTCCCCACAATTCTAATCCAAGATAGATTGGCTGTTCTCCCCAGCAAGGGCACCTCTTTGATGGTCATTTTGCAGCTAGACACTAAACTTTTCAACAATGTACTCATCGAGTTGAACTAGTTTTTCTTCTATTCCGATAATATTTTTTGTACAAAATTATCGTCTAATTATTGCTTTCCTTGGCTTTTTCTCCCCTTAGCATTTTTTTTAAATGTTGCATCCAACTACAAATTTGTTTTATTTTAAGACCAGAATTTTAATGTTCTTCTGTTGCTGTGCATATGCCATGCCCTAGACCAGCCTTCAAAGACAGCAAAGCCAAGAAGCACTACCCAGGATCTTAACCACCTCCCTCCCACATACCCATTCCAGTATAGTGTGTTGGCTTCTTTCATCATCCATCCCAGGATTTGCTCCCCCAATGCCTCTGCGAGAAGAGCGGATTCAGAGTCTCTGCTTAGCTGTTCCTTTGTTCTCTTCTTGTTTGCACTCTGTAGGCTTATGGTTTGCTTGGGGTTTTTCTGTTGTTTGGGTGGGTTTTGAGGTATTTCTCTAGGTTCTTCTTTCTCTGCTTCTTATATCATGGGTCTGGTGTTCACCTGTTCTAAAAATCAGAACCAGTCCTGGGGCATCAGACAACACTTAACAAGTAGATAGATTTCTAGTTACTGAGCAACAGCTTTGAGCCACATCGTCTGCTTTCTGATGGAGAGGCCTAAATCAAATATTCCTGCACCCTGGGGGCCTTTTCTTGTAAAGTAGGGTGAATGTGAGGGAGGAGTCAGGTGAGGATTACATTTTACACATTGACAGACTAAAGTGCTTAGAAGAAGACCTGGCCCAAAGAGGACTATTTTACCTGTTCATCACTGTGCTATTAAATGTTCCCTTCAATGTTTTACAAACACAATGACTATTTTTAAACATTTGATCATTTTTTTTACAGTACATTAAAAGCTTGTTTTGTTAAAAGAGAACTAAAGATCCTGAGAAGTGAAATCTTAAGTTGGAATTTTTTGTGTCTCCCACCCCACTTGGCCTGATCCCTGGCTCTCTTCATCCAACCAGAGGGCAAGTGTCAGGCAGGACAATGGAGTCACTCTTGCAGCCTATCTTCCTGGCCGGATGCTCTGGAGTAGGGTGAGAAGCTGGAGTGACGTGAAAAACAAAAATAAGGAGGGATTGAGAAGGACAAATTGGAAGAGTGAGGGATAGCCTTAGTGAGAAGATGAAAAGGAGCAGGCTAGGATCAAGTATTAGAGCTGAGAGAAGCAGAATAGGGTGAGCAGCCATGAGACAAGAATGCCTTAGAATGAGGGTACTGTTGGGTGCTGCTTACTTAGAGGTAATGGTAGCCATCAGGCTGTGGTAGAGTACAGTCATACCAGGGTTTTATAACTTGAGCTCATTGTTTTCCCCTCAAAGGAAATTATGATTTTTTTTCTTTTACTGGTTCTATAAATATGTTTTTTTTTTCAAACAGCTTTGTGCAAATAGCGTTTTAAAATAGAATTGCATAGCCAGTATATGAGAGTATTATAAATAGCAGACTAGGTATTGTTATGTGATTTTTTGTTTGTGTGTATACATTTTGAACACACAATAGATTTTTCTTGTAGCTAGATAGACAAAATAAAAGTTAAGAGTCCCCTTTCTGTAAAGAGGTTTGGTGAACACTCCAGGGAAGCCATCTGCCATCTTTCCTAGGCAGTATCTCTGAAATCCTACCATGGGCAGAATGTCTTTCAATGACCGACTGAGAAAGGCTAGGAGCCTTGAGCACAGGTTTGCTGCAGGAAGTGACACCATCATGGAATGAGAAAGAGGACAGACTGAAAAAATTCTAACAATGCTTAGAAAACAAGAAACCAGGTTTTTGTCAATTATTTTTCTGTATGTCTACTAGGACACTCATAAATACCTGCCCTAAATAGACTGGCTTATGCACATTGGGCATTTAATAAATGCTTATTGAAACAAATGCCTGGAATTATAGTACAAAGATCTTACATGGGCTCTGAGAGAGAGGGCTGAATACTTAGAAGGTGGGGGCAATGGGAGGGAGCGAAGGAACACAGTCTACATCTATCTTCACTCATGTCCAAACTAATGGAAAATGTCTAATCCATAGCCAGGTGTTTACATCTGTGACTTGGCTAGGTGCCCTCTTCCCATGACACACCATCTCTAGTATTGGAATCTCATCTTGGGCTAATTTTCGAATGCTGATGGGTGTATTGATCTGGAAACAAGCTGGGTTAAAAAAGGCATTGGTCTTGTACACAGACTCAGCCCAAGCTAATCCGCTGTCAATATGCCTGGACTGAGTATTATTGACAGGTTAATGAATAGAGGACCATAGTTTTTTCAGAGTCAACCTGTCCCGTTCCTCAAGGCAATCAGACAAACTAAATAGAGCCAGACTCTGTATTGGAAAAAGGATATACTACCATGCAGGATTAAAAAAAGAAATATATTTATCTTGGGATCATTTATTATACTGAACAGAGACCCTAATTCCCTTAGCAGAAGCTGGCAGTCTGAATTGAAGTTGCTTTTCAACCAAACACTGTTGGAATGCAAGTCAGGCATATCAAGTTCCCCAAATAGTATTGTGACCATTTAAAAACAGAAATATAAACATCAGCAGCAACAGAGAACAGACCTAGTATTGTGCCCACGCATATTTATATCTGGGCAGCCAGCATCATGTGTATGTGTGTATGCACAGAGAGACGGGGAAGAAACGACACTGCCGCCACCCTTGAAATCTGTTTAAAGACCAAAATTATTTGTAGTATCATGACTGTCAAATATCCCACCCAATTCCATTACCTCTTTATGCTAAATCTTTCTTTACAGTTTCAATTCAAAATGACTGTCTCTTAAAGATAGTCATGACACCATAACTACATCTGCCCAAGAAGCAGACATGAACTCATTCATCCTTTCCTGTGAAAGTTAGTCTGTGAGAATCATCTCTAGCAATGTGTACCCTAGCTTGGAACTTAGTACATGAGGATGGATACAAAGCTGCCCTTGAAGACCCAGGTCACTTTTGTGTGGAGAGAGAGAGTGGTGTGTTTCTTTTCCAAGTCACCCTGAAAGAATTTGTGTGAGTACAGATACTGTTGCCTGAATCTCTCATCCATAACTTTGCATTTTGTTTTATAGATGGCTTTGTGATTTCATAAATTCTCCTGAACTCTTTCACCTCCTCATGCTGATAGGAAAGCATTATTTCTAGAATAGGACTGGGTCAGGTACCTCAAATGTGGGCTGGGTTCAGTTTGGGCTAGGTTGGAGTCCTTAGCCCTTAGTCAGTGTAGAAAAGAGGCAGAAGAGGACTTGGAGGAGCAGCTATCAAGAAGGGCTATTTTGAGTCCCATTGAGAGGAATGATGCAAGGCAAGGCCATTAGATCATCAGTGGGAATCTAAGAAAGAACTGAAGACACTGAACTCATTCTTTAGGCCGGAGATGGACAGCCTGACAAAGAGAAGAAAGGTGCTTATAATATGTATAGAGTCAAGAAGTTGGAAGAAGCAGCTAATGAAAGAGAAGAGTCCGGGCTGGAGGTAGAGCCCAAACAATTACATAGGCCAAGTCTCTTTGGCAAGGTTGGAAAAGGTCATCTCTGAGGAAGAGGCAAGCTTTGGAATTATACTAAAGGTAAATAAAAGAGAATGTATCAGGAAGGGGTGGACTGAGCAGAGACAGCTAACTACATACTATAGTCTCAATTTAAAATGATAGAAATAAGAAGAGACACTTCCTCAGTCATATGAACCATGTTTTCTACCACAGTAGATATTGCAGACACTGAGCATGGGCCTGAGCTTCCATCACAGAAAACACTGCTGGACAGTGCTACCAGTGATTACTGGTGTGGTGAGGGTAAGTTTCCCTACCATGAAAGGCTGAGTGTGGTATGGAAAAGAAAATAGATTTTGTAGAGAAGGTGAAAATAAGAAAAGATAGCAATCTTTAAAAAAAAAAAAAAAAGTTGCTGGATGAAAGACCAGAGTTCTTTTCTTAGCTAGGACAGAGAAGAAAGTCTGAAGTCCAAAGGTAAATGCAAGAAACATGGCATTTGGAATGTAGAGAGTGAGAAGTAGCTCTCAAGGATTGGTATATCTAGCTGGGCAGCCAGAATATAATCTTTTGGACTGGGGAGAGGAGCTCAGCATTGGGAGGCAATGATCGTGTAGAAGACCCATGTTTGGTTCTAAGCATCCATATTAGGCAGCTCACAACCACCTGTAACACCAGAGGATCCAATACCCTCTTCTGGCTTCTGCAGGCATCCTCCTTCACAGGCACATACAATCACATATGCACACACCAAAATACACATAATTAAAAATAAAGTAAGTCTTAGAAAAATGTGTATCCTTTTGACCTTTAGATTTCATCTTTATGGATGTAATTATTAAGTGTCTGCTTCTGGAATCTAGCTGCATATTTCAGCTGTTGATTTTGCTGCCAAACAATCTTCATGTGCATCCAAGATGGCTATCCCACTGCCTCTGCTGGTCCCATGGAAAAAGTGAGACCTTGGGAAACAGAGAGAATAAAAACACTTGCTGCCACTGAATTGTTTGCCAAGTTGCAGGCAGCTAGAGAAGACATCTGATCCCTTTGTCTCCAAATCTTCTGAGTGTTTACACTACAAAGACCTATTGCAGTGACTGTAGAACACTAAAGCGCTTTCCTCACTCAAACATGGAGAGGGACTTCTCAGCCTTGACCAAGTACCTTTGGGACTTTCATCTCTCCTAGAAAAACATTTGCATGATAGAAAACAGTAGAAGGCACACCGTATAAAAACAAAGATATTCCTCTATAATAAGAGAAAAGCTTTTGGCCTCTTTATCAGTTTCCCAGGCCCTATCTAGGTCTGCTATTGTCATTAGTGCATCTAATCACCCCCCTCC